CGCGCTCTGCTCCTTCACTGCATGCTGTTGGCCTCAAAACCTGCATCTGCTGCGTACCAGTCCGATGCTGTAACCTATAGGGCTAAGCCTGAGCCTGGTACCAGCGGGCTAAAATCTCCTAATAAAGAGGTAGCACACGACTTTTGGGGTCAAGGAACCGCCCCATGCAACTTCCCGGCCCGTATTCGCACAAAAGACCACCGAAAAATCCGTGCCGACCTACCTACCGTGCCGCGGCTACCCTTTCCTAACCAAATCCATCAGGTCCCATCATCTGGATTCCGCGCAAGTCCACACAGGCTCACTAAACCGTCCAACGTACCACGCGGAACCAAAGAAAAGAGCGCCCCTAGGTTAGTCAGTTTAATCAAAACAAAACAACTGTTATAATAAAGCACGTCGATCGGAATCCACGCCACGTCTTCCATTGCGATCAAAGAGAGAAAATTTGTGCGCGCCTCAAACCTGCGCGCCCACACACTCTCTAATCCTAGACGTTACCGCCGAATCTTTAGTCCACGAACCCCTGCGACTCGCGGGGTCTTCCCATTAATTATGAATTGACCCACTTCGTTGTCACCTGCAAAAAAACAGTGCGAGTACGCTTGTAAGGGTATTCGCACCGACACCGCCTCGCCATGCCCCCATGTATCGTCTTCCCTTTCCCCTTCCCCTAGGACATTGATGTATGGTTGATTGGCACGTGCCACGACGACAACACGCACGATCCCCTCCTCGGACTGAAGAGAGCCCATCCTGAGGAAAATTATAGGATAGAGCCACATGTGCCACCCTGAATGACTTCCACACTCCTTTGCACGGTTCATGGCAATGAAGAAAGCTCCACGTGTCGATCGATTAGAGAGATCGACACATGTCGTGGTTCAAGCAAGCAGGAGCTTGGTTAAGATTGGAGCCCCCTGGGCGTCACATATGTGACAAACCAATTTTTGTTCCGCACGATTTTCTGCGCGATGACAATGAGGGGTCCTAAGATGGGAAGGTTGGCCCAATTACGGGAGATCGGGATTGAGGGAAAATTGCATCAATGTCCTCGCTTTTTCGTCTTTTTTCTTTCGCCACTTCTTTTCGGATGGCTGGGTCCAGGGCCGGGCAAGTCCCGAGAGGGCCGATTGAGTGGCTGTCGCCCCAACAAGGCACGATTAATAATGGTTGACATCACTTCTTTCCTGTTCTGTTGTCGGATTTTAGGCGCGGAGATCGCGCGGGAATTTTCGCTTCGTTCTTTTTTAATTTTCCTTTTTCTTCTTTTCAATCTTGTCGAGCCTTGACGACTCTCGAAACTTTGAATTTTCTTTCTTTTTGCATTAGCTAGGAATTTAGGAATTTAGGAATTTAGGAATTTAGGAATTTAGGATTTTAGGATTTCTTTTGCCGCGCGCTGCCTTTCTTGCCCGCCTCCTTTTGCGGCTGCAACGGAGTTCTGATTAGTCGGCGCCCTTAATCTTGCAGGTAACTGTAATTTTTGGGCGGGCGCCATTGTAACTGTATCGTTCTTCTTGAACTTCGTCTTTCCCGCTCCTTCTTTACCTTTTGCTGTGCCTAGTTAGCACCACGGCCTGCATGCTCGGATCGATGCGTGGAGAGTGGCTACGTCCCCCACGTCGCGGTCCGACCATGCAGAATGTGGGCGTTTCCTCTCCTAATCTCCCTCCTAAGTCCTTGCAATTCCGTGTTCTTCGCACATGCATGCACGCTATAGATTCCGGCTGCGCGATTAGATAGCTCTCTTAACCAGCTGTTGGAAGCTCATGGTAGCGCGATCATTGAGGGTCGGCTCACGAGCGAAGTAAGAGGTGAGTTGAAGTGGGAGTCGGGCGACCCGACGAGGTGGTGTCAAATGGGCGGGGTTGACGCATGGGGCTACGACGGACTGTAGCGAGCGGGCGAACCTGACGGGTGCAGGAGGACTAAGCGGGGTTATGACTTCGTGGGTTGGTGCGTGACAACGGACTGTCCACATCGGAGAGAGAGAGAGAGGAAGAGGGAGCTGAGGTTGATGGACGTGAAGTTGCAATTTTTTTTGTCTTATCTCCCTCCTTGCTTTTGTATATAAATTTTGATCTCGACTTAGGGCGGCTCACCCATTTTCTTGTGCTTTCGGAATCCTTGCCTCGATTTCAGTACCCACCGTTTTGCGATTGATCTTGATCCCGTTTATTGTATGTTTCGTCGAATGAATGGATGAATGAGCGTTATGCCTGTTGCTTTTCTTTTGCTTTTCTTT